AAAATTTATCCATCATTTTAGAACAATAGCTGGTTGTCTCCCTTAGCTACAGGTGGGCACTGCAGTATTGGAGACCAAGATTTGAAGTCTTACATCTGAGCAGCACTTTCTGATTAGGAACAAAATCATCAATGAGAAAGAATTGTCTAACTTTTTATATGGACTTAGGCCTAATGTCTGGGATAATCACCATTTGTTATCTGAGCTTGATTGGAAAGGGGTTGTTGCTTAGGCGTTTGGGCCACTGTGGGCATCTTCTGGAGGGACGAGTAAAGGGTGATGTATTGGGTCTATTTGTGCTGGCTATGTTTAAATTTCATAAGGCCACAAGTAAATTTCATCATCTCAGTTGCACAGATGAGGAAAGAAGACCCAGAAAGACCACGGTGTGGCCAAACTGCATGGTGGGTCAGCGTGGAGGTGGGGTCAGGCTCAGAACCATGTGACTCCTAAGCTACCCCTGCCCTGAGCATGCACTGTGAAGAAGACTTGAGGGTGAGGCAGGTGGAGTATCATGGAAGACCTCAGACCCCAAGAAGGGATTCAGAGCTTCTCCTTATGAGGAAGCAGCTGAATTTTCCAGGTAAGGAAGACTGGAGAAAAGAGAACGTGGAGTCTGAGATTATCTGCAGAGGCAGCAAATCTCATCCCCAGGAAGCCCAGCCCCAAGTCTAGCTCACTGAAATAGGGCACATGGGGAAGAGGCAGACAGTAGACCTGAGTTCTTGTCTTTTTTTCAGAAAGGGGCTCATGTAGCTCAGGCTGGTCTAAAACCTACTATGTAGCCAAGAATGACTTTGATCTTCCTGTCTTCCTCTCCCAAGTACTGGGATTATAGGCACGTCCACCATATCCAGTTTATTCAATACTGAGGATGGAACTCACGGTTTTCTACATGCTGGGCAACCACAAAGAGTGTAGTCTAGGCTAGCCCACTGTTTCATCCTTCCTGTTTAGCACTTGGTACTGGTGTGTACCACCAGGATGGGCCCAAGTCCTTGCTGCCTAAATCATAACCCTAGCTCCTACTTTCTAAGAGCTACATTGTTAAGAAACTTCTTGTGATCTGTTTTCCTTATATGCAAATGTGGTTGTTGATATTAACCACCTGGTGAACTACAGTGAGACTTAAGCAAGGTACAAAAGACAGCTAACAGTACTTTTCCAAACACCATACATGTTTGGGCTATTTTAATCATGGCAGTAAGTGACCCTTTGTGGGAAGGAAATGCTTTTTCTCAGTTCCAGAGATGTGCACATGTAGGGCACTGACTGGTTTAGGAGTTTGCTTCAGCATCACACAGTGGGTGACAGAACTGACTTTCGACTGTAAACCTCAGCGTCCAGAGCCCTTGCTCTAACCACTGTGCTCAGTGAAACAACAAATGGATCCCATGCAGCCTTTAACAACACCATCACCTCCCGGCAAGCATTAGATTTTAGTTTATTAATTTTAGGTTCCAGATAAAAAGAAATTGGGATTAAGTTACATAACCAGAGATTTGCGCTAATGGTAAAGAAGATTTTTCTAAGTGCTGACTATGAAGTAGTAGACGGTTGACGTATCACTTGGGATATTTAAGGACCAGGGGAGTTATCGTACCTTCAAGTTCTCTGTAGAACGAGGGGAACGGAGTACTTGTCATCTTCCTTTACATACGTTCCTTTCCCATTTTCCAGTGTAAATAAATGAAAAATGGGAAGTCACAATTTATAGAGCAAAATTCCATTGGAAACTGTGGAAAAGAGATCTGTTTCATTTATTTCTGGGCATGGAGACTGATACTAACTTGTACCCCTGGTTTTGCTGGCAAGAAAGGGTCAGCAAGATGGCTCAGTGGACAAAGGTGCTTGTCTTCAAGCCTCATGACCTGATTTTCATCCCCAGGAGCCACATGGTGGAAGGAGAAAACCGACTCTTGTGGGTTCTTCCCTGACTTCCACATGTGTGCCACGGCACGTGTGAACTCTTCTGCAAATAAATAAATACATAAATAAGTAAATAAGTGACATGGGGTAAATTTTAGTGCTAGAGCCATGTAGGTGTTTATTCCCGGCTCTAATTACTCCAGGTCTCACAAATAGACTCATCTTTTGATGACAAGCTGTGTACATGATTCCTGAGGCAGTGTGTGCTTAAAGATAATACTACATGCCGCCATTACCTGGATATGTGAGTTGGAAAAGTATCTCATCCTCTCGGTGCCTCAGTTTCCCTTCATCTGTAGAATTTAGATACTTTAGTGTTATCTCATTGGATTCTTTAAGTGGTTAACTAAGAAAACTAATATCATCATTGATGCTTGTAATAACAGCACTTGAGAGGTTGATGCAGAAATGTTGTATATTTGAGGCCAGCTTGGGCTGTAGAGGGAGACCCTGTCTCAAAAAGCAAGCAAACAAAAAGCATAGATTTTCTGTGGATAACTCAGGGGCATTTGGTTAGTTACTTTAATTAATTGATTAATTTATTGTAATGTGTATGAGTATTTTGTCTTCATGTAAGTGTACCTGTGTTGTGAAATGCCTTCAGAGGCCAGAATAGGGCATTGAATCTCCTGGAACTAGAATTATAGACTTGTTAGCTGCCACGTAGGTCCTGGGAACTGAACCTGGGTCCTCTGTAAGAGCAGCCAGTATTGTAACCCCGGAGCAATGTCTTCAGTCCCTGGTTAGTTATTTTACACACTGCTTAGCGATGTGCGTGAAAGCTGTTTTCAAACATGCAAAGGAGGTACAGCTGGTAGGCTGGGTGAACAAAGGCAGAGACACGCTTTATTAAAAGAGAGGGGAGAGAGGAAAGAAAAAATCTTATAAACAACTGGGAAGAGTGAGTCTTGCTTACACAATATTGAGAGTAAATTCTTTAGTTAGAAGCTAAAGAATAAGTCTGTACATTTGTCCTGGTTATTACTTCAATTGAACGAGTCACAATGTCTAAACCAAAACAATTTCAGTTTCTCTGTTCTCCAGGAAGCCTTGGGCATCCCTGTGGACATTTTCCAGGCTGTCTACAAACTTGTTCATTAGTGTTACAACCTTAGTTTATCAGTCCAGGTGTCCCTGCTCATTTGCATATGGATTTCCCGATACATAAAATGCACTTCTAACAGTGCCTCATACCTCTTAAGCAGGATTGTCATTCAAGAATCTGGAAAGGAAATGAGGAATTATACTAATTGTGAGGGTGGAAGGGGAAGAGGGTGCAGAGGTTAGACTATTTACATCCTTGGTCAAGGTTCTTAAGTTCTACACTGGAGTGGTCCATGCATTATCATGGCACAGTATAAGATTTCTGCATCACATTAATTTTTGCACTCAGTATTTCTATGGTTTTGTGCTTGATTCGCAGAACTAAAGGAACACTTGGATGAGAAGATTAAGCTTTGCAACCAGAATTATCCAGATCTATTGAAAACCATATGACACTCAAAGAGAAGAGGTCTCGCAGTACTGGTCACAAAGCTGCCATGGCTGATGTGGTCGCCATCTCGGATGCTCATGTTGAAGTGAATGTTGGGTGGTTAGGTTCCAGGACACTGCTGCTTCCAGGAAAGGGCATAATTGAAGTGTTGTACATGGCAAGACAGGATGGTGTGGAGACAGGGAATTCTGACCAGATCTTGAACAAAGGGAAACTTTAAAGACAGAAGGGATTCCAGTTGGGTGAGAAAAACAGTATAAATTGGACGTGATGGCACATGCCCATAATCTCAGCATTTGGGACATAGAGGCAGGAGAATCACAAATTCAAGGCATACTAGTGAGATAAATTGCATGCACACAGTCGGGGGAGGGAGAGTTGAAATATTGACAACTAGACCCTGACCCTGACTTTGTTGAATTTTGTAACTTTGAATAAGCCACTTGAATAGACATCCGAATCTTTATCTTTAAAATGTGGAACATAACCACTAGTAATTCCTCTAGTTTTCCTACCCCTTCCATGACATGAAAGATAAAGATAACATGGACAATATGAAGAATCACTGGAAAACAGATACCACTTAGAAACAGGGATAATATAAACGCAGGAAGACTACTGAGCCTTGATTTACCGTGGCTTAGATGTGGTACTTGAGTACTAGTTTTACATCTTCTCTTGACTGGGTCAACGTTAAAGTCCCAGTTATCTCAAAGGCTAAAGAAATTCTCTGCACTCTGGAGAGTCCTCACTTCCTGCCTTAAGCAAGAAGGCACTCAGTGTCAGGGTGAGGTTCATGCAGCGGCTCTCTCTACCCCATCTGCTGCTCACCTGCATAACCAGGGGCTTACTATATATTCTTCTTCCAGGGCTGAGCCCATCGTGGCTTGGATTCAGGAAGACCGCACCATGGTCTCCTGTGTTTAACAAGATTAACTTTGAATTTCGAACTGGAGGAGTACGATGTGGCAGTGGACAGGTTTGACTGGGAGCTGTGGTGCCGCTATGATGGTCTGCCACAAGCTTGGCTGGATCTGCATGATGCCACTGCTCCAGTGACGTAAGCCTGAGCAGACTCTGGGGAGTTAATGGCACGTGGGAAAGTGAGGAGGAACTGTTTGGGGCTTGTCTATCTTTGGTGGCAGTAATGGAAATGGGGTGGAGGAGTGGAGGAGCTGGGGTAAAGGATAAAGAACAAGAAAAACAAATGACAACAGTACAACAATAGAGGCTGGAGAGACGACGCAGCAGTTAGGAGCACTGGCTGTTCTTGCAGAGATCCTGGGCTCGATTCCCAGCACCCAAGGCAGCCAGCAACCATCTGTAACTCCAGTTCCAGGGGATCCGATGCCCTCTTCTGACCTCTGAGGGCACTGCATGACATGGGTGCACTTACACGCATGGCAATACACTCACACACATAAAAATAATGAATAGAATATTTAAACAACAACAAAAAACAATAACAACAATAAAAAACCTGACGGCTGACCCCAGATTAGAAATCACAGACATTTGGCACTATTTTGGGATTTGCAGACAAAAAAATCAAACACTAAGTAATGTTTTGCATAGCACTTGGGGCATTTCAGGCACTATCAGGCTATGAAGAAGAGGAAAAGAAGCCATTCCAACAGCATTTGTGAAGGGAAGTGATGATGGGTTGGACAAGCAACAGTCACACACTCTCGGTCCAGCTTAAGCTTAAGCACAGCCCTGAGGATAAGAGGATATTCAGAGATCTGAAGACCCAGGAAACTTGGGCCTCCTCACCCCTCCCCTCCATGCTGACCTGTTCCTCAGATTGGGCTCAGTAACCTTCTTGCTGTGTGCTCTGTAGGAGTTCGTCCATCATGGGCATCATCACTGCCAACAGGCTCTTCTTGGGAGAGATCGGGGCTCTAGACGATGGGATGCTGGTCTACGGAGGAGAGAACGTGGAACTTAGCCTGAGGGTGAGTACATTTCCTTCTTCTCTATGGGACAAAGAGAAGGGGACATAGTGGAAAGTAGTAGGAATTCTGGAATCCTAGAATCCAGCTGAATGCCATCAAGGGATGGACAAACGGTCATGTTTCCAGGTCAGTAGGCTGAAGAGCAAGTGGTAGACAGTAGGACTTCTGGAGTGGAACTTTCTGACGCAGGCCTGTATTCTATGACCTGAGGGGGTTGGCGGTAAACAGTGGAGCTGAGGCTATGCAGACGTTCCTCTTTCCTCTTCAGCTCATCTCCTGGGATATACCATCTGTGTATCAGTAAGTACAGAGAAGGGCAAAGAGAGTGAGCTTTTCCCTTCTCAGGACCACGCCTGAACGCTGTGTATACGGTTTCTCCTTACAGTCCATAAGGACCTAGTCACATGGTCACACCTATATGCAAATGAGTCTGGGAACTGTGGGCTTCAGCTATGGTCATAAGTCCAGCTCTTCCTCATGTCACTGGAGATTTAGAACAGAGTAGATGTTGGGGTGAAATGAGTCTCTGGTATAGATGAGACAGTATAATTGAAAAATAATTCTTCGCTGGGTGTGGTGGCGCACACCTTTGATCCCAGCACTTGGGAGGCAGAGGCAGGCAGATCTCTGTGAGTTCAAGGCCAGCCTGGTCTACATAGTGAGTTCCAGGCCAGCTGGGGCTACAGGGAGACCCTGTTTCAAAAAGGCCAAAAAAAAAAAAAAAAAAAAAAAAGAAAGAAAAGAAAAAAAAAAAGAATTCTTGTATGCATAATATACAGGCCTGATTACATTGTTGTTTTATTATGTTTATATTGTGGCTGGTGCTTCCTGCCCACTAAAGTTTTAGGCAAATTGGGCTCAACCCTGATTGCACAACTTTGGACCCACAGCCATCAGTATTTCTTAGTTTGTTGTGTTGTGCCTGGCTGCCCCTTTCTACTTTTACACTGGCTGTTCCCACCCTCCCATCCAGCAGGACAACTCTACCCTTTCAGTTTTTATAAGAAATCTACTTATTTTAACACGTGGAACTTGAATTTCAATTTCTTTTCTTTTTTTCATTTTTTTGAGACAGGGTCTCACTCTGTAGTCCAGGCTGTCCTGGAACTCATTATGCAGATTAGAGCAGCCTCAAACACATGGCAATCCTCCTGCCTCAACCTCCCAAGTGCTGGGTTTATAGGCATGAGCCACCAACCTGACTTCATTTAATGTTTTACTTTTTTATTTTTTGAGACATGGGCTCCTTGTAGTCCTGGCTAGTCTGGAACTGACTGTGTAGACCAGGCTGACCTTGAACTTGTGGTGATCCTCCTGTCTCTGCCTCTTGAGTGCCAGGACTGCAGGTATGTGCCATCACATCTGGTGACTATGGACTCTCAGCAGCGCTGGGCAGGGAGCTCAAGGCCTCATTGTGTTGGGCAAACGTTCTACACTGGAGCTACATCCCCAGCCTGACTGTGGGATTTTAAAATCAGCTTTTCTAAAAATACAGGGAGTGTCCAGGGAAAGTCCTCTTTTCCCTTCGATTGATAAAACAGTTCTGCTCAGGTCCAAGTGGCTTGGTTTATGTGTGCAACTGTACCTTTTTCGTCTGTTTTTTTTTTTTTTTTTTCTTTTTTTTTTTTAATCTTTTTTTTTTTTTTTTTTTCACTCTTTTAATTTCCCCTTTCTTCAACAGAAGCAGGCTTCAGCATTCCAGGGGCTTTGCTTCTTCCATCCGTTTTTTTTTTTTTTTTTTTTCCTTTTTTTTTTCAAGTCAGTTTTCGTTTTTAGTTGACACCTAATGAATGTCCCCATCTGTACAGAGTAATGTGCTATTGTGATTCATGGATACATTGTGTGATGATCAAATAACTAGCAATCCATCACCTTAAACCTTTATCATTTCCTTATAGTGGGAGCATTCAAAATCCTCTTCCGGGGCTGGAGAGATGTATCTGCAGTTAAGAGCACTGGCTGCTTTTGCAGAGAACCTGGGTTTGCTTCCCATCACCCACATGGCTACCAACAAGCATCCAGAACCCCAGTTCCAGGGGATCTGATGCCCTCTTCTGGCATCTGTAGGTATTGCATCTCAGTGCCACACACACACTGGGAAAACACACATGCACATAAAATTGAAATAAAAATTAATTAATTAAAAAATCCTCTCCCAGGTATTTTAAGATTTATAGTGACTATTGTTAACTATATTCATTCTGCTATGAAATACAGCACCAGAACTCATTTCTCCAAACTGTAAAATTACCCATTGACCAATGGCTGCACATCCTTGCTTCTATACCTGGTAACTACCTTCACCTCTCAACTTCTATGAGATCAACACTTTTCTTTTTAGTATTTTCTTCATTATTTTTATTTTATGTGTATGAGTGTATTGCCTGCATGCATGTAAGTGCGCTGTGTCCTGCAGTGCTCACAGAGGTCAGAAGAGGGCATCGGATCCCCTGGAACTGGAGTTACAGATAGTTGTTAACTGCCATGTGGGTACTGGGAACTGAACCCAGGTCCTCTGCAAGAGCAGCCAGTGCTCTTAACCACTGAGCCATCAACCTGAGATCAATAGTTTTAGACTCCTCATATGAATGGGATCATGTGGTATTTGTCTTTTTGTGCCTGGCTTGTTTACTTTAATATCATGCTTTCTGGACTCATCCATGTTACCAAAAATGACAGAATCATATCCTTTTCATTGCTAAATAGTATTTCCTCCCCACCCTACCTCTCTGTTTTCTTTATACACTCATCCATTGATGGACACCTTGCCTCTTCCATACCTTGGCTGTTGTGAATAGTGCTGTAATTCAAATGCAAGTGCAAGTCCCCTTTGATGCCATTCTTGCATTTCCTTTGGATCTCTACTTAATAAGGGGATGGCTGGTGCCATAGGAGTTCTATATCTATGGGCCTAATAATTTACACTCCTATCCCAGTGCATAAGAATCATTTCTTCAGGCAATATTTGTTAGTTTTGTTCTTTTGATAACAGATGTTCAGACCAGAAAGAGGTGATACCTCATGGTTTTGATTGGCTTTTCCCCTTGGTTAGTACGCTCAGCATTTCTCAGCACTTGTGGTAATCACTTCTACAATATGGACATACTCTAGGCAGGTGAATTTACTTAACCTTTCAACCAAAAAGTTAATCTTATCTTAGTTAGTTTATAATGTAAACAAACTCACTGAGCCTTGAGCTCTCCTTGTAACCTAAACATACAGCTCGTGGCACTTCCTCATCCTTGGCCCCAAACAATGTAGGCATATGTGTATGCTTTGCAAGTAACAACTATAATTCCATTTATGTTGCAAACAACAGGGATTAAATGAATAATGTCCATTTGTAGTTGCGTGTCTGGTATTCTAGATCAGTAGGGGCCAGAAAGGACAAATTTCCTGGTGAGACAAATACGTCCACTTTTCCCTTCTGCATTTCATGCTGGAAACACTGTTTCAATAAGAGTCAGCCCTTGTGCAGAAGTGAGAGAATATCAAAGGGACAGGTCCCTTGAAATGGATCCTCAGAGTCAGGCTGTCTTTATTCAAACATCCCTTGCAATAGGACATTGCATAATAAGTGCCACAAACACTGTGAGGTTCTGTTTTTCTCTAATAACAGAACTTGGAGAACAGCAGAGTGGAACAGAGTGCTTTTTCTGACATCTAGTGGCCTCATCGGTGATGGTGTTCCTGGACGTGTGTGGATGTGGGTGATGGGCAGGAAAGACGCCAGCATGTAGGTAGCACCTGTATTTCAGGCTCTGGGCCACAGTAACATGTGTGCTGCCAGGGTTCCAGATCCAGATGCTACATACCAGCTGACAAGCACAAATACGCTATTTAAATGAGGAAAAATAACGCTTGCATGCTCTGCATGACAAGGGTTACATTTATGGAAAGTATTAGGGTAGAAGGTAATGCGAAGTTATCCATTGTTATATCCATAGGCTTCATATCTATGGAAGGGATGAGAAGAGAGGGGGAGAGGGAGAAAGGAGAGAAGGAGAGAAGAAGTGAAGAAGGGAGGGAGAGAAGGAGGGAGGGAGTGAGGGAAGGAGGGAGGGAGGGAGAAGTGACAGTCACCTGGGATAGCAAAACTAGATGTGGTGGTTCACGCCTGGAATCCCAGCCCTCAGGAGGCTGAGGCAGGGGGATTGCTATGAGTTCAAGACCAGCCTAGGCTACAGAGTGAGAGACCCTGTTTCAAAGAAATAAATAGTGAAATACATAACCAAAAAATTAGAAATAGTGCTGGGAAGATGGTTCAGTCAGTAAATTGTTAGTCACGTAAGCATGAGGACTTGAGTTAGAATCCCCAGAACTCATGTCCAGGCACTATGGTGTGTGCCTGTAACCTCGCTTTGGAGAGGGAGGTAAGGTGGAAACCAGGGGATCCCTGAAGTCAGCTTAGCTCAACTGACGCCCTTCAGGTTTAGGGAGAGGCCTTGAAAGACGCCCAGTGCCAACCTTGAACCTCTACCTGCACACAGACTCATACACATATGTGCCTAATCACAATACACATAAGCAAGAATTTTAAAGTTAAAAAATAAATAAACGGGCTGGGCGTGGTGGCACACACCTATAATCCCAACAGGCGGGAGGGGGAGGCAGAGGCAGGCAGATCTCTAAGATCCAGGCCATCTGGTCTATGCAATGAGTTCCAGGCCAACTGGGGCTACAGGGAGAACTTGTCTTAAAAACCAAACCAAACCAAACCATAAATAAATA